AGCAGGTAAGACCGCTGGCAATTTTCCCTCCTTTTTGTATAAAAATAATCCCACATTCCTGCTATGCAAGATCTCAAAGTGAGATTATTCTTTGCAGTCTTTTAATTTCCCAGTTTTCCCAGAAGGCTGATTTAGGCTCAGTAAACATGTCAAAGGTAGGGTGACCAGACGTTTCACTTTTGACGGGACAGTCCCACTTTTGAACAAATTGTCCCGCCTCCCGTGGCATTTTTAAAAAGTCCCGATTTTTGTTAAGAATGCAGGAACAGGCAGGAGAACAGGAAGGGAATATACGGTTTACTGCTGCCATGTGGCTATTTCGCCAGAATATGAGTTTTATATTATTTTTGTTAATTTTATAATGTTAAACTATAACAAATAATTGCTGAGAAGTGATTATTGAGAACTGCTTATCAAAGTTTGCATTGTTGTCAGGCCCTGCCCTGCCCTGCCCTGTCCCCTGCCCCGCCCCACCCCCATGTTGTCCCACTTTACAAATGTTAAAATCTGATCACCCTAGTCAAAGGAGATACTCCCGCTCAAAAGCAGCCTTCTGGGTAAGAACAGTGGTGGCGCTAAAAACACAGACCAGGCAGAGTCCCAGCCAATGTGACTGGGCAAGTGCACAGAGATGCCTGCCCCCACTGTGGGGAGGGAGCTGGGAGCCGGGCCTGCTAGCTGAGTCCCAGAGGAAACCCCACGGTGAGACTGAAATGACAGGAAGGGGAGAGGAACAGAGAGGAGAGGAGAATTCAGCAGGCAATAAACAGCAACCTGCTTAAGAATTCCCTGGAAAAAGAAAATCTCAAGGACTACTTGAAGGAAATTTTAAAAACATTGTATTCAATGCAATTCCAATAAAAGTAGTATAACTTAAGTCTGAGCTCTAGTAAGTTTTATCTGAAAATGGTTACTTTTAAAAGTAACTCTCGTGCAATTTCCCAGTTAAGCAAACGGTATTAAAAAAAAAAATGGGGTGGTGCCTGTGGCTCAAAGGAGTAAGGCAGCAGCCCCACATGCTGGAGGTGGTGGGTTCAAACCCAGCCCCGGCCAAAAACTGCAAAAATAAATAAATAAATAAAAATAAATGATTCTAAAGCTATAGAGAACTGTGCGAATTAAGATCCTACACTGGTTTCACAAAGCAGCCATTCTAAATAACATCTGTGGAAATATCAGCAATCAATTGTGAATTTGATTTGGAGCTGGGGGTTACAGGATAAAATTTAACCTCTAAAGTATAAAGTATTCTTACTACACATTCCTCATATGAAGGGATATTTTCTACGTTAGGATTTTATTAGTAGAACTACAAAACATTTTCTGATTTGAAAACAAAGTCAAAGAGAAACAGTTACCAATTTATTTACTCTAAATACAGATTATAGCATTCTAAGGAGAAAACAGTAATCCTATTCTGAAAAGCATTATTAAGGTTTAATGAATGTTTCTCCATGGGAATGGTGGCTCTCAAGTGAGAGTCTAGTTTTTGCAAATGAATTTGACTTCCCCATGAAGTCCTCCAAACCATATAATAAATGTTTTTTTTTTTTAATTTTCAAAAACAAAGTTATGACAATCAAACCAGGAGAAAAAGTTGTTACTTACAAAGACCGTAATGAGCCAAGATAATCAAAAGTTCCTTGAGATAATGAAGAAAACAAATTCCCTGAAAGGTTTCTGGAAAAAAAAGAAAAGAAAAGAAAAGAATTTCAGTAAAAAAAAAAAAAAAAAAGAACACACCTATTGGGTATGGTATCACACACTGTGGGAATCAGAGAAGAAAACACCAGAAAAACTATTATAGATATTGGCCTGATCAAAGAATTCATGAAGACCTCAAAGGCAACCACAGCAACAAAATCAATAAATGGGACCTGATTAAATTAAAAAGCTTCTGTACAGCCACCAACACAGTCTAAGAGCAAATAGACAACCCACAGAACGGGAGGAAATATTTGCATACTCTACATATGACAAAGGGCTGATAACCGGAATCCACAAAGAACTCAAGCAAACTAGTAAGAAACAACCAAACAACCTCAGCAAAAAGTGGGCAAAAGACATCAACAGGCACTTTTCAAATGAAGATATACTAATGGCCAACAAACTCATGGAAAAAATGCTCAGTATCTCCAATCATGAGGGAAGTGGACATCAAAACCGCAATGATATATCCCCTAAGTCCAATGAGAATGGCTCATATTTAAAAAGCCCCCAAACAACAGAAGTTGGTAGAGATGCAGAGAGAAGGGAAGTCTCAAACTCTGTTGGTGGGACTGCCAACTCGCACAACCTTTATGGAAAATCATATGAAGATATTTCAAAGCACTTAAAGTAGACCTATCATTTGATAAAGCAGGTCCCCTGGCTGGGTATATATCTGAAAGATAAAAAGCTCATTTTATAAAAAGGACACCTGCACTCAAACGTAGAAAGCAACATAATTCAAAATCGGCACCTGTGGCTCAAGCGGCTAAGGAGCCAGCCACATACACCTAAGGTGGCGAGTTCGAATCCCCAGCCCGGGCCCGCCAAACAACAATGATGGCTGCAACCAAAAAATGGCCAGGCGTTGTGGCGGGCGCCTGTAGTCCCAGCTACTTGGGAGGCTGAGGCAGGAGACTCGCTTGAGCCCAGGAGTTGGAGGTTGTTGTGAGCTGTGATGCCATGGCACTCTGCCCAGGGGGATAGCTTGAGACTCCGTCTCAAAAAAAAAAAAAAAAAATCGCAACGATGTGGAAACACCCAAGTGACCACCAATACATGAATGGATTAATAAAACATAGTATATGAATACCATGGAGTACTACTCAGTCATTAAAAAAAATGGTGATCCAGAATCTTCTTGGACAACCAGAGGGAACTGGAAACCATTCTTCTAAGTAAAATATCACAAGAATGCAGAAACAAACACAGGTATTCAATACCAAAGTGGAGCTAATCAATCACCATTTAAGAGCACATGTCGTGGTAAATCCCAATGAACATCGAGCTGGGAGGAGGAAGGGGGTGAGTAAATTCACGCCTACTGAACACAGTGTACGCCACCTGGGTGAAGGGCACAATTACGTGTACAACTTTGACTCAATCTGTACAAAAATAAAGTTTGTAAACAAAACATCTGTACCCTCTAACATTCTGAAAATTTTTTTAAAAGCCCTGAAATAAAATGCTTACAATCCAGTTACAAAAGAGCTGAATTAAAACACCACTGATTTAAACAATTTCAAGCCACTGTAAAGCTGTATACCAATCAATCTTTTATTTAAAAACAAAATTAGGCCACATATCTTCTCCCCCAAATTGAAGGACACACCGAAAATTACAAATTTCCTAAGAAGTGGGAGCAATTTGTTCTACTCTAAAAACTGGTACCTCTTCCTTTACTGTAAAGATGAAATAATCTCATTGTTTAAGCCTCTAACTATTTTTTAAAAGGTAATTTGAATGAAATACAAGAAACACTCTAAAAAGCTATCAGGAGAAAAAACCAAGAGGAGACAACTCTTATCCTAGACCTTCTGCTCTGAATTTGGCGCTTCACATTGAACCCTTTCCCGATGGCTCATCTCTAAAAGGCGATTTTCTGCCATTTTCCCACACAAATGTCTTTTAGTGGCCTCCTCCTGTTAAACCAGTTCTAAGCCACTGTTTTTCAAATATTTTAAAAGAAAGCTCCAGGACAGATAACCAGCCTGAAAACAAAAAAAACATACTTTATAGCTTATACAGAGTTCTTCTACATTTTTATTAGACATAAATTATAACAGAGATAAAGAGAACTTAAATTTTAATTAATGTTTACAACTTTGAGGTACTGTTAATCCTGCTTTATAGATAAAAAACAGAAAAGCTCAGAAAATTGACACCCCAAATCACATAGTCAGAGGCAAAATTCAAATGGCCATTTTACTGCTGGTCCATGGGGAAGCCCTCGACAAACTGGTCTTTTCTCATTCGACCTGTAAGTACCAATGGTTCTTTTCCTGTGTATCAATGCAGATCTTTGCAATCTTAAGAGACCATCAGCTCAGATCTCACCTCTTCCAGAAATTTTCCTAGACCAGCAACACTTTCTATCATCCCTCAGCATCAACACGTTCTCTGTTGCATGTATACATTGTGTGTGTGTGTGTGCGTGTGTGTGTGTGTGTGTGTGTGTGTGTATGGGTGTCCATGTGTGTGGTATGGTAATGTACCATTATATTCTGAGGCATTATATTTCCATGATTAAACTGAGAACCCCTAGTGTCTTACTTTTTTTTTCTTTCTTTTTATAAAATCATAGTTGTCTATATTAATGCAGTCATGGGGTACAATGTGCTGGTTTTATATACAACTTGAAATATTTTCATCAAACTGGTTAACATAGCCTTCATGGCATTTTCTTAGTTATTGTGTTAAGACATTTATATTCT